CTTCTTCGTACGCGTAGTTCCTCCTGGATGGCCAGATACTTCCGCATGTACCGAGCAAGTCCGTGTTGTCCTCCACCGGTCGTTTTCGCGGTGGCTTAGCTTCCCCGCACTTCTGGAAAGCGCTCTTCGAGCCGTCGCATTGGCACCTATCATTGGCATTGTCAAAAATGCGACATCAGCTGTAAGCTTCGGCCCGACGCGCTGGGCGTGCTTACATTGGAGTACGTAGATCGACGCTGGACCGTGATCTCGTGTTGCCCCAGGCTCGGCAATGACGATTCTGCCTTGGCTAGACATAGCCTTCCACTTTACGAGGATGCCCACGCGTTCTCATGCGGTGCCACATATCGCCTTCTTCTATCAAGCTTTGGTAGTACCAAGACTGTGGCAAAGTACATCGCCGTGCTGCACGTGTTGTTCCGCCACCTCGTCGTCGTCTGCTCGCGTAAGCAAAGCAGCCTTGATCTTACACCACCCACCGGATCTTATACCACTCTTGCAATGGACCAGGATCCAGGGTTGATCGTAAACAGCTCCAAGCTTATCTAGAAACTCTGTACGACATGAAAGGCGAGCATCACCGGTTTTCTCGGAGTCAGCCGGAAATCACGGCGTGGCTGACAGCAAGTCTAGGGCTACTTTGACTTGTTCATTCCAACATGAGACGGCTTTTACCAAGGCGCAGGAAGTCTATACCCAAGGTCTTGGCTTCCGCTGCCTTGGTTCAGCTTCCGGTGGCAGTACAATGGACATGATATAAAGAGATGTACTCACTCTCGTCGTATCAATTGTACCATCTGCTCATCCCAGTACCGAATAGCCGGATTGCTCTATTCTGGGCTGAGCTTCCCTAACAGTATTGCAACTGTCTGTAGTAATCACACCAGAGGAAAAGCAAGTAAGGCTTCAACATGCGGTGCCTCACAGCCACCAAGGCATCTACATATGCCTTGCTTTCGTTTTCGTCCATCGCCTCTGCCTGGCCATCGTACAACTTGCACAACTCCCAATTCGCGAAACGTCAAGGCCCAGGAGATCTTCCTTCCCAGGGAGGTCAAACTGAAGAGCCAGTCTTCAACGAAGAGTACGACTTCATCGTCGCGGGTGGTACGTCAACTCTTTGCCCGCCGCATGAGATCATCGGCAAACGGATCATACCCGTGGATACTGTCCACTAGGTTAGATCATCTCATAGACCCTGCTAACATCAACCAGGAGGAACGGCTGGTCTCGTCTTAGCTAATCGCCTTACTGAGTCTGGACACTTCTCCGTGCTGGTCCTCGAAGCTGGGCCCAGTCCCGAACAAGTTCTGGCATACGAATCGCCTGGCGGCAACCAATTCATCAAAGGCAGCGTAATCGACTGGGGTCTGCTTACCACACCACAAGAGCATCTGAACAACCGCACCCTTCAGTATCTCCGCGGACGAACTCTTGGTGGCTCTAGCACGACAAACGGTCTTTACTATGCGCGAGGCTCAGCCAGTGTATACGATCATTGGGCCAAGTTGGGTAACCCTGGATGGAACTGGAACGATGTCTACCGCCTCTTCAAGAAGAGTACGAAGTTGAATGCGCCCACCTCGACGGCGGAGCTTTCGGCGTTCAGCCAAGAGTACAAGACGTTCAACGAAGATGCTTATAGCGACGGGCCGCTCCAGCTAGGTTTCCAAGGATACGTTCCACCGTCTACCGAAGGATTCGTCGTCGCTTGTAGCGAAGCCGCTGATATTCCTATCGTCGAAGATCTTAACCTCGGAGATGGCGAAGGTGTGAAGCATGGAACAACGACGATGGACAGCATGCTGCGGAGGAGCTCCAGCTACGACAGCTTCTATCAGCAAGCTCGCAATCGAACGAACCTCAAGGTGCTGCATGACGCTCCTGTCACCGGTATCGTCATGAGCAAGCCATCATCGACGAACTCCACCAGTAAGCCACGTGCCATTGGTGTCAGCTACATCAACCAAATCACTGGTTTCGTGAGCCAAGCGAGAGCACGCAATGAAGTCATCGTCAGCATGGGTGCCTTCCACTCACCGCAGCTCCTCATGGTCTCAGGTATTGGTCCGGCCGACGAACTCGAGAAGGTTGGCATAACGCCTGTCGTCGTCAATGAGAATGTTGGCCATCATCTCAATGACCACTCAGTCTTCAGTATCATGGCGCGTGCCCAGGACAATGCTTCCACTACGGACATGTCTCGCACGCCCCAGAATCTGCGCGCTGCTCAGGAAGCATTCTATCAAAACCTCACCGGCCAATATACCGCGCCTTCTGGTGTCACTAACGGCTTCCAAAAGCTCAGCGAGCAGCAACTGCGCGACATCGGCGCTCAGGCTGTCATCGACGCTGGCCTCGCGAACCAAACACACATCGAGTATCTATTCGAGAGTGTATGGTACCCATGGATCCCAACACCATACTGGGCGCCGCTATCAAACGACTCCTACATCTCAGTCACCGCATCAAGCATGGTCCAGCTCTCCCGCGGCACAGTCAGCCTCCGCAGCGCTTCCATGTCCGACAGCCCCCTCATCAACAGTAACTACTATGCCGACCCCACCGACAGCGCCATCGGTATCGCTTCATTCAAGTACCTCCGCGCTATCCTTCGCCACCCGGCTCTGTCGCGCTTCACTATCGGCCCGAATTCCGGTGAAGTCAGCCCAGGTCCCGCGGTCGCTGATGACGACGACGAAGCCATCCTCGAGTATATCAAGGCGAATACCATTCCCAACTGGCATGCTACCGGTACGAATCAGATGCTGCCGCAGGAAGATGGCGGTGTTGTGGATAGTAGGCTGAGAGTGTATGGGGTTGATGGGCTGAGAGTTGTTGATTGCAGTATTGTACCGGTACTTCCGGATGCTAATATCTTGGCGAGTATCTATATGGTGGCTGAGAAGGGTAGTGAGATGATTAGGGAAGACTGGGGTGATGCGGTGTATTAATCAGCATGGAACTGAGAGGAGATTCTTTGACATTGTACAAGAAGAAGTATGAATCATCATGGCCACTGAACATGCCCTGAGCGCACACGTCCTCGACTGTGGTACCTGTTTTCATACGCGTCTTCCAAACATCCAAAATCAGGGTGTTGTATGCCGTCGGACGCACCCGGAGATGCTCACAGCTCTCCTACATACCGCCTGCCCACATCACGATCGCCTCCGCCTCCTTACGGACGACGGGGTCGTTCGGTACAAGTGATATAGCTCCACGGATAAGCTCCAGAGCGTAGACAGCTTGCAATCTATCACCCCAAATCCGAATGCACACAGCGCGGCGGTACAAGATCTTTGCCTGGAGCATCGTAGGACATACCCATGTGTACCCTTCTTTCCAATGTCCTGGTTCAACACACTTGGCAGACGTCTCAAGGCAGGAGAGGGTGAGGTTCCTGTACGATTGCCGAATTGCCAGCGGTATGGATTCGTTCTTGGAGTCCGGGCCCCACTGCATGATGTTGACCAGTGCCGAATTGAGTCCAAGTGAGCACTGCAGCTCAGCCATCTGGTCGATCCAAGGCTCACCGCCAATCTTGATGAGCTTAGCCCAGGAGTTGCCCTCGCGCATACGATCGATCTCATGCATGCTTGTTCCCCAAGCGGAGAACGCCTCCATCAGTCGGCCTTCGCGGTAGAGTTGGGCACCGCGGTCTTTGCTCTCCCTCATGAGTTTGACGATATGGTGTGGGTCATTCCACTTTTCCAACATCATCAACCTTTTCAGCTCCGTTGCGACATCAGGTGAGACATGACCATGCACTTCGACTTTCTTGAAGTCTCGCAGACAGGTCAATTCCCAGAGCAAGATCCTCTGGGTAGCCTCGGAGAAGAAGTCTGTCAAGTCGTCTTGGTACCATGGGCCTTTATGAGCGAGCATCGGAGCCACAGTTATGATGAAAGTCGCATTCTTGGCGAGCCCTGGTACAATGGTTTTTGCCATCTCGAAGCTGCCACAGAACTTCTCAAGTTGCTGACCTAAGATGACTACGCTGGCTGGTTGACTGGCGCCTACGTGCGAACTCGAGCCTCCATCTGCGGAAGGCATAGTGAGCTCCTCATCTGCGGCAGACATAGTGATATCGACAAGTTGTCTGCGATCAGATGTTAGGAAACTCAGTCAGAATAAGAGACCTTGTTGCTTTGACGTACTCATTGAACTGCGCTGCGCGTTGTCCACTTGCGACGACGGGGACGTTTTGGCCAGCGATGATGTTATGGAGAGTGCGCTTGCCCGGGCAGCTGATCCGAACGAATCTGTTGGTTTTTACCATGATGTCGTAGGCTTCACGATGAACCTGGCTGTTCACACGAAGGATGGCAGAGTCGTTCCACTGTTGAGCGGGGAGATGTTTGAACTCATAGCTGTTCTTGGTAAACAGATCCTCGGGAATCTTGCGGGCAGGAGGTGGGGCGGGTCCAAACGAGCAGAGCAGCAAAGTATAGACTTTGTTTCTGAGCTCTCCGGGAAGGTCCATGAAGCGAAAGGGCGTATCGGTATCGGCGGTAGCCATATCAGCGTCGACAGTGGCAGTCATCTTCGCGACGATTGGATTGGAATCGAGTGGGGAGTTGTTGTGCAAAGGTCGAAGGTGGGGGCAGTTTGTGGTTTGCTATCCCACGTGCGTGTAAGGCGGTCTAGCGCTCGATAAACAAACATTGGAGTCCGAGCGTGGCGGTGACGCAGCGGCAGCTCACTAAGGCGCACGTCGGAGGCGAGACAGAGATGAACGAGCATTTTTTACGTCATTGCTGTGACATCAATCCACATTGCACAAGCCATTGCATGCAACCTTGAGTTAAGAAGACATGAAGAACAGTACGCACAGCTACACAATTAACAGATGGAGTAGACGAATACGACAGAATATCAGATCAACTTCAAACACTTTATTCGTACATGTATCTGCTAAAGAGTTCTGCCTGAGACGCAGAAACGTAGGTACCAGCGCGTCTCGTAGGAAAAGACTGGATGTGAGCGCAACCGTTACATTACATATCGATTGTAATGTCTCCATTTTCACACAGATGGATGCGAATCGAATCCCCATTGGCATCGAAGTTGCAGCCAGAAGCTCTCCATCTGAGCATGGCCTCATGTGCTTTCATGATATCCCTATCGTGAGGCGAGAGTTCGAGGGCGCCTCTGATGAGATCGAGTGCGAGGCTCGCGTTGCGAATATTGCCGCCTAGGAGAATCATTATGGCTTGTCGGTAGATTAGCTTAGCGAATCGAGCATCTGAGGGCTCCCATTCGCGACCTTCTTGCCAAAGATTTGGCTCCATGCATTCTTCCGTGGCAGTCATGGTACGCCTTAAGATCATGTCGAGAGTGTCCAGAATCCTTTCAGTTTTGCCGTTCTCCATCTCGTCCTTGAACATCGCTATGATAGCGTAGCAAAGACTCAGGCAGCAAGAGTACCTTAGCTCAATCATTGCATCGACGAATGAATCCCCTCCCAACAAGACGAGGTTGCCCCACGACGAAGATGCGCGCATACGGCCGATCTCCATCAAACACTCATCCCATAACCCTGATGCTTCCTTACGAGAGCCGTGGTCCCACTCCACATCAGCGTGATCTTTCAGTCCTTGGATTTGGTGAAGAGCTTCAACAGACTCCGGCCATTCATCCTTGCACATGTTTGCCGCCGTTGCGGTCGCAATTTCGGACGACACGCGACCGTGTACATGGACATTTTTGAAGCCTCGCATGCAGGTCTTGAATGGGGAGAGCAGGCTGAGTTGTATTTCTTCCGAGACAAAAGCGTCGAAAGAATCTTTGTGGACTGGAGTGGGCTCGCCGAGCAGAGGCGCGACGTCCACATCGATTATGAGAGTCGTGTCAAAACCGATTCGATTGATGGTCGCACAGAAAGGTTCCATGTCTCTGGCGAGGAGCATAACACTCATTGGCGGCTCATGCGAAGGCGTTGACGTTGATAATGTGACTGCGAGCATGTGGCCTTTGAACTGAGAGATATGCAGATCATTGAGGGTGATGACCGTTACGTCACCCACCTGGAGGACTTCCATGAGCGGTAAAGGCGGGAATGCGCGGACAACGACGAAACGATTCGCCTTCACCATGACGTCGTAGGCTTCAAGATGGACTTGACGACTGGTGAGGAGGATGGCTGTGTCTGCGCAGTGGCCAGCAGATTCAATAGGCAATGGGTAATTTTCCCAAGTCTGTTCGACTGGAGATCCGAACGAACATAGCAACAGGGTGTAGACTTGATTGCGCAGTTCTCCGGGTAAGTCCATGAAGCGGAAGGGCTGAGTCGAATTGGATACCATGGCTTTTGCGCGCCGCTTGAGACGGCGGGCGTGCTTGCGGGATTTCATATATCAATTCCGGCGGAGAAGCGATGATAGCACGGAAGAGAGAACGACAGGTAATATCAATTTGGGGTCGTCTGTGGCGGGCTCTCGAGCACGAGCCAAGAGGTCCTAGCTTTCCCAGGCACCAATATAAGAGATTGTGAAAGGCATTTCAGAGCATTTCAGAGACTGTTGAATGCGGAATCAGAGCCGTTGTATCCACCCCAGAATGTTCTCACGCTCTCTCAGAAGTACACCGTCACCCGGCTGAGACACGAGAGCTTTGTCGATGAAGCTCAAAGCGCGATTCGCATTCTGTGGGTTTCCTTCCAGCCTCATGAACATTGCGTACCGATAGCGCAGCTTGGCGAACTGCTGAAGCGAAGGTCTGTACTTGTAACCAGGTTTCCAGAAGCCTGGCTTCAACGACCGAGTTGCAGAGTTCAGCGCGCCATCGGCCAATAGCTCGGCGCCAAACGCGTTCTTCTGCATATTCGCGATCTGAATGTGGGCGATGTTGAGCTGCATCAAGAAATATAGCGGAGCGATTTCCTCAACGAATGCATCACCTCCCTTGCGAATTAGATTTGGCCAGGAACTGGAATCACGTAACTGCTCTAGATCGTAAACGGCGTCCTGCCAACCAATGACGGCCTCCTCAAATTGGCGGTCTTTAAACTGTTGTGACCCGCGATCTTTCGCGGCCGCAAACTCGGCGAGAACAGCCGCCGGATTGAAACATCTGTCTTGCCCAAGACTTTGACGAACGGTAGCTGCCAGAGCATTGTCGACATGGCCACTAATTTCGACGGCCCCGTATCCAAACAAATTGGCCATGAACGGCATGAAAAGCGTTTCCTGCGTCTTCTTGGTGAAGAAATCGTTGAGGTCGGGTGATAGTGTGCTACTTGACGCAACGTCTAAGACAGGCGCCATGGTGATTGAGATCTTGATCTTTTCGCTGAACCCCGGATCATGTAAGTCCCCATCGTTTAATGCCTTGCAAAACCGGTCCAGATCGCTGTAAAGGATCATCGCGGTGACAGGTTCACGTAGACTCTCGGAGTCATGTGGGGAACGAGCGAATCGTGGTTGTTTGAAACCAATGTGCACACCAAGCACGTATCCCTTGAATCTATCAACAATGTCTCTGTCGATGGCGATCATCCGGACCGCTTGGCCTGCCATAGCAAGGCGCATGGGAAGCCCTCGCGACGATGTGACCTTTACGAAGCGATTGGTTTTGACCATGACACTATAGGCCTCACGGTATGTTTCTTTGGACACTAGCAGTATCGCGGTCTCGACCTGATGTTCTGCGAGTGTCGCGGTGAGAAAGGACGAGGGCTGTATCGTGACGGTAGTTGGTGGTGGGCTGAAGCTGCATAATGCGATACGATAGATCTTGTTGCGTATCTGCGGGAAATAGGAGTCAGCACGCATCATATTGTGGAGATTCGAAGAGTCCTACCTCTCCGGGGAGGTCGCGAAAGCGGAATGGGGTCGACGGCGTCGGGCCAGCCATCGCGGATACGGCAAGTCGGGAAATTGCCTGGTAAATTGGAAGAAAGAGAGGTTATATGGACAATGGTTTTGTCGATGGCAGCAAGATCTGCTTCAGCCTGATACTCGAATTTGGAGTTGGATGCTGAGGTGTCAGTAAAAAGACGCGGGGAAGCTTACACGCTAATTTGAGGTGTCACGCTAAACGCGAAGACATGTGACTTAGCGCGACGAGGTTTGTCAGTTACCCCTCTGTTGCGCATCCTCCTATACCTAACCAATGCGTCCTCCTGAACGCAGTCTAAAGTTTGGTTTCGATACCGTTGCAAGTCGCACCACAATCGAACGTTACCGTATTTGTACGTTCAACGCCCTCCAACACAACAACAAAAGCTACTTAGCGCGGCCTCTGTGCGATCTACGAGCTCCAGAGCGACAACGTTGCGGCTCACGTCGCTCCGCACGACCAAACGTACTGCGGCCTTTATACACTCAATCGCTATCCCCTGTGGACGCTAGAAGATAGCTCTTCCGGCCTTGCAAAACGATCGATGCCATTTAGTCCACGTTATGCGTGAGTAGACTACCTTCCACGATAAACATTGTCTTTTTCACGTGCAGCACGCTCCGCATCCTCCTCTACACTGCTGTGTCCCGTTTCATATAGCATTAGCGCTGTAGGTGCAGCCTTGAAGGTAGCACGGACAGTCGCCAGGGCCAAGACTTCGTTCTCCCCGCCGGAGTCCCTCTCTGCGCACACGAGCAGTACAGTGTTGTCTTCTGTTGATCTCTCGTCCATGATGGCAAAAAGGTCCGTAAAGATTTCCGACTCTGTATCCTCGCGAAGCTTCAAGAGCAGTTGGTGACATTCCTGGGGCGTCTTTCCAATGAATGGGGAGTTTGGGTCGCTTCCGTCTTGTCCTGGTACCCCTGATGCCTCGTCGTAATAATCGTCAACGCTGTCCACGAAAACAATTCGCCACATGTCGACCTCGTCGCGAGTTTCCTTGATGAAAAGATCTATAGTCTGCAACCCTCGCTTGAAGTCAGTGCTGAGCCGAAGCTAGGGAGAGGATACACCCCACTGACCTCTTCGGGTAGCCGGGCGGCGCAAACTACAGGGTACATTAAACCCATTTTTCGAAGTTTAGGCGGAAGGGAGATCAGAAAGATCAGGTATCGACCAGGACGAAAGAATTCAGCAAGCTCTCACGTTAGTACAGTGGTATGAACATTCGGCGTGATCGAAGGAGAACGTGTGTAACACAGCATGTGGGATTTTAGCAATGTGACGTAATTCCCCTCTTAGGTTTCTAATGTTTCCTGATGAAGGATCATTCCGCGTGCGGGGCACGCTACGGTAACTCCCCGCTAGCTTCCGGCTATCACGGCCGCCTGCTTAGGTACCCCGCCCCTCCCGCGCCGATCCTTTTCTCCCTCATCTGGCTTCCTGCACCACCAAGCTAGCGACTTTGAGCGAAAATGAGCGAAAACGGGCGAAACTGGGCGAAACTGGGCGTAATCGGGTCCAATCAGGCGTGGTTGCACGTAAGCGCTTGGAAAACATCCCTCATGCCCGCGCATCGAATCGCAAGCGTCTATTCGTTCTAGTCCTCGCAACATTTGCAGATCGTATTGACCGGTTGAGTTCATACTATACAACCCGGTTTATACTGTACCTACTATCCAGCGTTCTCCCAACTACCCGCGGACGCGTTCAACGTTTGCAAAGCTTGTGGATAGCGGTACAACGTATCTTCACAGCCTGCTCATAACTAAGATTTCTAGTCTGTAAAGCATGGCACATCAGCAAATATACTTTACCCCACATCCTTCATCTCACTTACTTCAGCCTGCATGGTTCATCTTACGTACGCCACTGTACATTCTCTATGCTAAAATGTGACATACGTTCCTCCTCCACCTTATCACTCTCGATCGGCAATGCGTTAGTAGCACATGATACATGTACATATGACAACACACGTTCCAATTCTGTTAGCTCGGGACGCCTGATAATTGACTTTGAACCCCATCATGTCACTGCTACGTATAAGAAGTGGCCTGGCTTGCTTTAAACTTTCCTTCCACTTTCTTCCGAGATCTTCATTCTACGACACCTCTTTCCACGTTCTTCATCAGCTGTGTCTGTACAGTTTCTTTTGGTCTTCCCGATTGAGACCACCCAGTATGCTCGCTCTCGCATTGATTGCTCTTGTCCCATTTGCCCTCGGCCAGCAGTATATGCTGAACCTGGATTGTTCCGAGTATCCGGGGCCTTGCAACAACGACTGCTACGCGATATATGTCGCTAACAAGCCAAGGGTATGGAAGGATCGCCTAGCTCAGGAGGATATTTGGGCGCTGACTTCTGTCCTCAGATCCTTAACTACAATGGGCCCGATGGTCAGTCTGCCGCACGTCGGAGGGCGGCTGGTTGTGTCTCCCCTACGCCATGTCGCAATGGCAAGATGGCAACGCCGGGTCCTGACGAGGACACTTGTGACGAATATCCTTACGCGTCCGTTGTCGAAGGCGGCAGTGGAGCACTTCTTCGGTGCACCGAGTCGGGGGAGAACACGGCAGAGGGTAGTCGCTTGAGTGGATTCTTCAGTTCCACCTGCGGCAACGAACCCTGCACTTTCGATCTTACGTTCGGAAATCCCGGTACAGGCAACACGTAAGATTTCGTGCTCCCCAGTCTCCTCGTTTCATTTGGCTAACCAGTGCCCAGTCCATACTGTCTTGATGGAGGTGGTGCAAACGATGGGTACCAGTACGTGTACCAGGGCAATGGAAATTACAACCTTCATAGCAGAGGTAGGCGCATGCTACATCTATATTTGAGCCTGATCATTATTGACGCAGATTGCAGACTCAAACGCTACCGAGGACGACGGATGGGGGCTACACAAGGCAGACCCAGCCGACTACTTCCCTCCTCATCTCCGCCGCGAATTTCTCTTAGCAGATGGTAGCCGCACTGTACTTGCGACGCGTGATTTAACTGCCTCTTACGACGATGCGATCTTCTACTCTATGAGCAACGGCACGGTCTATCAGACTCATGCGATCAGGGAATTACTCGGGTTGGAAAAAAGTCCCCAGTTGCAAGACCCGGCCTTGAAGAACACGAAGAGAGTAGTTCCATTTGTAGCGTAAGCTCTTATGCTCTGTATACGAGCGATAGTGCTCAGTCTAGTCTATTAGAGCGACTATGTCGTACACACACTCTCTATAGTGCTTAGCCTAGTTTCTTAAAACGTTACCGCGCTACGCGCAGTTCTTCTATTCTTTATTCTATCTACAACGCCCACTCCGCCACGACAGCCTGGACTGCCAAACGCCGCATCCGTCGTAGACTTTGGCGATAAAGCTCGCAATATCTTCCGCCTATTTACGAAGATTTGTAGAAGCCTAACTACATTCTCATTTAGCGCTGATGATGCGTGACGCTACAGACCGAATCAAGGCAAGAAGCGCATCCTTCCAAGGTTGCATTTCGCTTAACAGGCAGCAATCCTCATTTACGAGATTGGCGCGTTAAAGCTCACGCGACGTCCACCCTGGAAACTCGAAATCGACTCGCAGCAATATCATTCTTCTATTACAACCAGGTCAAAGATGGCCAACACCTGCCTACCCCGCCTTCCGGACGAGTTGTTCATCCAAGTCCTCCAAAGCGTCGACGACCCATTCGTGCTCTGGGTTACATGCCGTCAAGTATCGCAAGCCTGGAGAAAAGAGGCCGAGCGCACATTCCGAGCGACCTTTCTTCCCATCCTTCACATCGAGTGGACCCACATTCAATTTGGTCGGATAGAGAAAAACCTCATCGCTACCACAGACGAACATTCCATCGACCCACAATCTTCAACGCTCTCTCTCCTTCTACGACCAGGTCAGCCGCGTCCGGAGGAACTGTCTACCCTGTGGCAAGATACTGCCTCATGTGGGAGGTTGGAGCACGATGCCACGTGGATCAAAGCGTACGGTGACGTGGCTATGTGGACAGCTGGCTATGGCTTTGAAGAGCTTGTACAGGCCATCTGGTTTGATACGCCGGATGGACGATATACTTTCGTCGGTGGTGCGGAAACGCGTGCTTTCGACCTCAAGTTTCCTGCACTCGAGCAAGACGGGTGTTTCAGCTGCCGAGTCACATGCGACTGGAAAGCGTTGATGAATGCGCTGTTCATGGAGGAGAGATATGTACGGCGGCACCAGGATCCAGGTCCCTCTTTTTACGAGATTGCGGAGGAAGGTATACGCGCGAATTTGGTCAAGGCTGAGCATGGTGTCATCACCAGGACTACCACACCGGACCCAGATCCGTGGGAAAAGGCTATTGCGTATGAAAAGGAGCTATACGAAGTGGAACTCAGGAGGCTTTTGCGAACACATTGCCACCACAATGAGGATTACAAAACCCTTTATGCTGCAGCCTTCCAGCAGAGGCTACGTCTTGCGTTCAGCAGGGAGGGTAAAGACCTTTACAATGATGTCTTTGATCACGGGTGCGACGCAAATGCGCCACTGAGTTTCAACCTCGAGAAGACTGGATGTCGGTGGATGATGCAGTGTCGGCTTGATAGACTTTACGCCTTTGCCAAAGGGATTTGGGAGGGGAGATTCGGAAAATTGGCAGGGTCGAGTTACGAAATCGTGGCGGGCCAGGTGTGATGCTCGTTACAGTTTGTTGTAGTCTACCAAATCAAACCAAGGCAGATCATCAGTCTTGTCACACGCTTTGTATCGATCCATTGTGTGGCCTGGGGAAGACAAGTCGGCAAGAATAGTTTCTATCAAGTCGTGTAATTGGTCATCCGCAAATTCACGCCATATAGCGGCTAGCCTGTCATCGTGCAAGCGACTCTTGATGGATGCGTCCAATCGTTCGGGTAACACGCGAAGCAGTTGTCGAGAGGTGTTGTGCAACTCTTCGCATTGCGATAACCTATCATCGCGATCTGGATATCCCGGTACTGCGCTTTGCGTGCCGACATCCAATCACGGTTAGTAGGCCAATACAATAATAGGGAGGCATAAAACTCACAAGCTCTTCTCAGCTCCTTCTCATCAGCGTCTACGAATATGAGCCGGTAGATCTCACGCCATCGCTCCTCTTCCGACTTCCCCGCTGCACCTTTCTTGGACCGCATCACTTCGAGTGTCGCATGGCTTACAGTCGAGATCTCTGGGCTCGGCTTTTGCATAAGCTGGCATGGCTGGATATTGCGTTGATGCATGGCTAGGTCTTGTTTTCCTCTTGCGTTTCCCTGAAATGTAGCCCCGCATCGTTCACATGTATAGTATAGGTGCACACGTTCCAGATGTTGTTTGAGTCTGTGGATGCCGAGGAAGCCTGGCCCGACGCAAGAGTCGTTTTCACAGCGTTGTGGGTTGCGTACGTAGAAAGGGCAAGCGAGACCGGGGTTGGTGGTATCGCAACGACGGCGTCGGGGCTTTTTGCGGGACGGTGGGTTCGTATCGTTGGTAATGGTGTCTGATTTGGGCGGTATATGGCGGTCGGCTTCGTTTGCGCGTTTGCGTGATGCTTTGTCTACGCTAGGTGTCTTACTGTGAGAGCCGTAGCCGCTGTCGAGGTCTTGCTGTGTCACGGTGGTGAGCGTGGGTGACGTCAAACTCGTTTTCGTTAGGGCCGAGGTTATTGATGATGACGCGCCGCATGAACTGGTCGTTTTGATTTCGGCATTGTTGCGGGCATTTGCGGTGAGAGGCTCGTCAATACCATATGTTACCGGCAAGTTGATGTGACATCCATGAGCCAGGGCCGCTCTATCAACCCCGAGGCCAGGCAGTCTCTCATCATCGATCGACATCAGCGTTCTCGTGTTATTGTGACTGTCAAACACCTCCACAGGTTTCAGCTCCCGGCAGCCATCATAGAATGATGGAAATGACGACAAATTCTGCTGAACCGCAGAGACCAAATCGTCAGCTGTATGGAGTTCTAGAGAACTTCTCATCTTTGGCACATGTACACGTGTCATTCCTGAAGCCTCGTAGGTCACGATATCGTTCATTGCGCCGTCCGTTGCAATGTCCAGGACGGAAGGGTAGTGACAGGCGTAATTGTCAAGAAAGCTGGTAGCGTCGCACATGGAGCATGCAGCCCATAGTGAAACACGGTTCTCAGCGAAGCCGCATTGACAACATGTCCACATGCGCAAGTGCTCGACGTGCCCGTTCGCAAGCGAGTAGAGTACGCTCTCTGCGCAGTGCGCGCATCGCCAGTGTGTGCCTCCGGAACGGAAGATGGTCGAATTTGAGGGTGTCGTCTTCGAATAATCAGGAACTGGAGGGGCTATCGCGTCGGTAGAGCTGCGCGGGAAGTCGAATGTATCAAATAAGGTTTCCATGATGACGATATGTTGGAGTCGCGGATATCTTAGGCCCTAAAGTCGACGAGAAGGCTACAGTTGTACTGATCAGGCGAGCATCACTTCCAGAAATGTGCTGAGACGTTCAAGCACCTACCTTGAACGCGCAAAGTTGCGCGAACTCTCAGCCGTGGGGCTTTGCGCGCAAGATGCTTGGCCATTGACACGTTCAGCTTCCCGCATGATGCATATAAGCAGAGACGTGTACCAATCAGGAGCGGTGGTACGAACTTGCAACGGTGACAAGCAGCAGTTTATCTGGTGTTCGCGGACACCAGCTGGACGATCGTTGTAGGTCCCCCTGTTCTCGGTGGAATGCGAGGGTGCTCCTAACCCTTGGAGCGGCGTGGAGAGCTCTGAAGCACCTGCAGTGGTGGGCGGCGCACGTTGAAGGACATCGAATGAGAGGAGAGCGATGTTGTAGGCTATCAAAACAGCGGATCCGATGCTGGAGCTTTCGAGTGTGAAGGCAACCTTGGAAGGGTTCGGTCGCTGAGGGAAGTGTGTCGTTGATACGGAGTTCAGCTGGACCCCGTCTATAGTGCCGGTGGAGTTCTTGTAGCAAGTGCAGCTGTCGGTCGCATGTGTCTCCTGCTAGGGCTGTATTGGGTGCGTGTGCACTTTAGACGCACCCGTCTCTCTTGTCCAAAAACACCGTGCCATAATCGCCGCTGTGCCCGGCCGGCAGAACGTCGGTGCAGGGTCCATGGTCACCCACCTTCACAGGGCCAAAGCGCAGCTTGTAGCGCTAGCAAGCGATCATGTGACCGCTAGCGCGCCAAGCCCGCAGCGCCCATATCAACCTCGCGCAGCCCGTCCCCTCCTTCGCTCCTTAGCTCTCTTTGCCTTTTGGCTTAGGTACGTCCCCCTTCTACAAACACCCTTGAGACACCTGCTGACTCACCCCTTCAGATCAAGTGTAGTATCTGTTCTTTTCAGTTTAATCTCTGAAACGTAAGCCTTCTCTCACCCATTACCCTTTTCGGCATCGCGCTAATATTTCTCAGGTCACTACGGTGACTTCAAGATTATTCTTATTTTTGTACTCGGGTCTTGGGTCCCTGGGCTTGCTCATACTCCGGACCACAGTGTCGCCAGTATCGCACTATCTCTGGCTGACGCGACCACTTTTTCATTAAGACTTCTGGCTTGCCAGTTGCTTGAGGAAGAAGCTTGCTTTCTAACCCCACACATCACTATTCAGCTCTTCATAATGATTGATCGTGCACTCGACTGGCCCCGGGTGAGAGCGTGATCATTTGTGATGCTGTACTGACGGCTTCGAGATCTCTGCCAACATGGACAAAAGCTCTTCCGGTCCTTGTTGACAGCAGGCTGGCTCAACGCCAACCACTGAGACCTTCTCGTGTTACCGTCGTGCAGACGCTCGTCCGTGAATGCTGACTTCTCGCCGCCATCCGTGAAAGTGTGGCTAGTCGGCCGATGAGCAAAGTCGCACCGACTGCTCGAGCCAAATCGTGACTACGCGCAGCATCTCGAGAAACTGTCTAAACACACCTGCTCCAGTGGCTACATCCCGGTGACCTCAGCTAGTCTTCAACTGCGTTCACTAGTCCTTCCATATATAGAGCCGGTGCTGGTAACTTGCGTTTGGATAGTTGGCCTACCTAACTGCGACATCTGCGCAGAAGAAGGTTGCGAAAGAACGAAGAGTTTGTACAAAATCTGTTATCAAGATCCTTCCCAAGCTGTGTCGATGTGACTAGCTTGGATTAAAAAAACCAAAAGAATCTCCCACTTTTGTACTCGAACCACCAACGATCATACCTTCGCACAAGATTTGCCTTCTCGAGACCTACAGTGAGCACTATTTCGTATCTATGGTCCCCAAGACGATCTTCTAGTAGTGGGTTCAGGCGTTTCAGCAAGAACTCTTCAATCCCCATTTGCAAACCCAAACCATAAATGTAGCCGCACACCAAGGTCGTCGAAGATGATGAGACCGTCAGTTCATTGACAACAACATTGATAAAATCTAGGAATACTCCCTGTACGGTCTTGTTGTAATCAACTGCAATCCTATCCTCCACTCTTACGACACCCATGAAACCGTAAACTTTGTCTCTGGGGTCTTGACATTTGCTGTCTCTGAAGTTCTGGATGCAGTCCATTAACGGCATGGAATGATCCTGACCACTACGGTGATAACCGTGACTGATCTTAAGAAGATATTTGGCCGCGGGTTCAACGTAGAGGTCCCATATCGGGGATGCTGGTAAGCCCTTGAGGTGTAAACAGTTCCATGTGACGCAACGATTCCCATTGATACGGATCTTAATTCGTCTGGCAACCAGTATTTCCTGCACTATCCACAGTCGCGTGAAGTATATGTTCTCCAACAACGATACAACATCCTCACTACGCAGGTCTTTATCGTTGAAACGATCAACCTCTTCTGGGCTCGCTATAGGTATGTCGCCTAGCCAGACAATGACAGAGGTGGCGTCGCTGTAGATACGCGACATCATTCCGACCTGGTGGTTTCGTTCCGCTGTATCCGCCTGCGCAATGCAGATTTGATCGATCCATAGCCATGTATCCACATCTTCTCGCAACTCCAACAAGCATGCGTGCAGAATGTCTCGGATCTTGAGTCTCTGGTCTGCGATGAAGATATCATGCGATGGCGACGGCGGGCCCCACCGGTAGGATAGCGCGATGTATTCCGGGGCCTGCTCGAGCGGGAATACTTCAACTTCGCAGTGTACGGGGCCGTGTTCTTCTTTGCGAAGCTTGAGCAGGCGTATCTCGTCAAGAGAACGACTAAGTGGTTGGTGCATGTATGTTGCGGGCTCCGTTGGCGGCTCAAGACATGCCTCGTGAGGCTCTCCGATGATTGTCGCATCCCGTTCGCACATCGCGCATTGTCTTTGGCTGTTGAAGTTTCGAGTGCGTCGTTATCGAGATGAGTTCCGTGTTAAGGCGAGGATGCATTCTAGGCAGACGAGATCTTGTTATCGTCTATGGCAGCTGAGGCAATGCGGGGCTGTGCAGCAATCGCGCGTCGTGGCGTTTTCAGCCTTGTCAGCTGACTGCATGGTCATGTAGAAAGTGCATGAACGCAAAGCTGGGGAAACAGGCCTCGGTAAAAGATTCTTGTTCTACATAATCCTACAACATAGGTGAGGTGGTGCCGACATGATGGTGTTGAGATCCATCTTCTGCCGCCGGAATCTAGCGTCGAGCACAGACCCCGATCTCGCACCACCTGAGCCACCGGAACACCAACAACAACACAAACACGAAGAGAGCGACAAAACTACCGTACAAAAGACCCAAGAACTCCTCCCAATCTCGCGTGTGCGGAACAATCTAGAAACACCGAACAACGTCATGTAATGCGCAACTACCAAGGGCAGACAAACACAGGCTGTCGCGTGTAATCGCCGCACTGGTACTCGCCCTTCTCCGCGTTCACATCGTTGGGATCCTTGTCGGCCGGATCGTTCACGCAGCCAATGACCCTCTCGCCACACCATAGCGCTCCCGGGTCGTCGCCGTCGTTGCGGTACTCGCACACCTCTCCGTCAATCTCGAGATCGAGCTCTTTGGTGCCGCCAGGGTACGTTGTGCCAGACTCATCCCACGGTACAGTCTCAAAGGGCCGGAGGAAGTCTTCGCGGCACTCGACACCCTGCTCATAGTCGGCTTCGAGGAAGAGCCAGTCCATCGTGGGGGCGCCTGGGACATAGGCACCGAGGACTGCGAGCTGCTTGGTCGGGCCAGTCGGCTCTGGCTCTTGCTCCGGCTCCGGCTCAAAATCATCGCAGACGCCACGCCTGGCCTTCTTTGTAGGTGATTCTCGAAACTTATTGTGGAGGTCTTGGATGGCCTGGTCTACATCGCCCATGAATTTCTCCATTCCTTCAGTCTGGAGGGTATTGAGATCGCGGAATTCGAAGAGGGGCACAGAGCGCTCAGAATTGAACATCTTTTCTTGGGTTTTGCCTAGTCTTCCAATGGACCCGTCGATTTCCTTGTCGAACTCGGTGAGCTTATCGTTTTCATCCGATTCTGGGTCTAGACCATGGATCCAGTCACGGATGTTGCATTTGGTATCGCCTTGAGCAAAAGTGTAGTCGCCAAATTTGTTGTCGGTAGGCTCGGGACTTTCGGGGGTACCTCCACATACGTCTGTATCAATTCTACGTTTGGTTAGACTGGTCAAACCATCTATAGGTCAAGCCATAACTTACTCGGTTCCGCCACTCTGGTAGCACGCAAGGATGTTGAACAAATCCCAAAGTTTGTCCCCCTTTGATGCCAACTTGGAGCTGACATGCGACAGCATCACGTTAAAATTTGTTCGAGGCGTGAACGATGTGAAGATCTTGGGACTTGAACCCGGTTGGAGAGGATCCTTTGCGTTTTTGGCGTACGATAAGACCAGGGTGCAAAAGGCCAGCACGTCATCCGTGGCCGCTTCCGGACCGATGCCGCCTGGGCTGGACTGGAAGTGATTCTTCGTTACGAAATCAAGCTTCTTGTTTTGAAAACGATCGAGCCCATTGAGGATATTTGGATCGCTCTCATCGAATTGTTCCTTCATCAGGCTGTACAGTGCCTCTAATGGCATCGGCGTGGTGATTTGGGGCTGGTAAGATATCTTCTCTGGTTTCCTATCTTGGCGGGTGATGATCGTCCACTTATTGCATTTGTTTTCGGCTACGTTGACCTTTCGTGAATCTGCGTCAAGTTTTCCGTTCCATGGGTACCAGTCAATCTGAAGGGGTTAGCAAGATTGATCACGGGTCTGCTGGGTGGCACCTACGAGATCCTGGGCCATAGCTGCCGCGACCTTCGCGCCGTTGGTCGCATCATCTGTGCTGCCTACTTTGACCTTGACACCATCAATGATGTACTCAGCCTGGAGTGCTCCAGGTTCGTTGACAGAGTCTGCAGTGAGCTCCCAGTTCGTGCCTGTTCGTTCGGCAATGACCTTTCTCTTTGCGGCGTTTGTATCGTCTGCGCTACATCCCGACTTTGTAAGGCGGAAGTCCGGACTCTCAAACTCGGCACCAATCCCGGCCGTCCCATCCGTATTGACTCTGTCGGGATCGTCGGCCATTCCATCTTGGATGTCTAGCTGGCATTCCTCTAGGCGCCGTTGCAGAGGCGTACGGATCACAGCTGCAGACGCTGTAAGGACAACTGAGGAACATAGTAGGAACCGCATCGCAGAGGCTCGCTTGGCGCGCATGGCGAAGAGTAGGGAAATTGATAACGGATAAAGGAAGTAGGAGTTAACGATAATAGAGGTGATGATGAAGCAGTGAGAAACTGGCTGTGATGACTTGTGTTGAAAAGAGAGCCAAAACATGTCCTCTTTATAGCCCTGAAATGGAGATAAATACCAATGCTGACGATCGCATTGAGCCCCCTCATGCTGAGATTGAATGCTGGAAATAGCATCCCCGAGAATGACTTCCTCATGGCTCGCGTGGTGCGGGCAGACGGCCGCCCCATCTTGTTGCAATGGAGGCTTTTGCTTAGAAGAAGCTGATGATCAAAATAAGAATACGAAGGAGACATGACGAAGACAATGGAAAGTTGTGTATTTCGGGGGCGAAGATGAAGCGATGGTGGAGAAGAGGAATCGGTTGAGGGAGAGACAAGGCCCCAGTCTGAATCACTGTAAGTCGCAAAGCAGGATTGTGAACGCCCCGTCTGAGTCAAAGGCGCTTTTTCTTGTCTGTTGAGTTGGTTTGGGGAGGAGTAGGAGTCAGTTCAGAACAAACCTGAAGCGTAGGGCGAGGCCGGCTTGGCGAGGTAGTAAGCCTGGGCAGGGCCGTCCAATGGCCTCCCTTCCTTAGTCGCTAAAGGCTTCAGCAGGGTCTGTCCCAGGGGCATGACGTCAGCCCGAGACAACGTCTGCTATACATATCGCGGACCCCAAATCTCTCGCTTGATACTGCGCGCCTAACTAGACTTACCCCAAGGCTATTGTAATCATACCGCGTCCCTCAAGAGTACACCTTCAATGGCCAGCCCGGACCAAATTCAGACCCCAAGCTGAGTCAAAGTCGCATTCTCCTCGTAACTAGACGTTGCATATCCCACTGTTTCCAGGGTTCTTGCTCTCACGAAGTCGTCTACAACGTCGCTATGGCTTTACTGGAATTAGCCGACGAACTCCTCGCGCTCATCGTCGACCATACGATTCCAGAGGGTTTCGAGAGCCTATGTCTGTCCTGCCGCAAGTTCCACACGCTTTGCAAGCCCTTGCTCAAGCACCACAACGAACTCCGCTCGCACTTTCGCAACTTCGATTATCTTCTCAAGGACAAATACCCTTCCCTCACCATCAGGACGCCGTTTGAACTCATAGCCCGAATCGCTGAAGAGCCAGTTGTTGCGCGCTACATCGAGCATGCAGATTTCAAGGCGGACCTTCGGCTACCTGTTGGCGGACGCCTCTGGATCATGGAAAGGGATGGCTATCGTCCTGAGACCGTTCGCGACTTGTTTGCCAGTTCCAAGTACTTGTCAGGCAACGAATGGCGGGACTACTTCGAAAAGTATGAACGAGGTCTGGAAGACAACCAATATACTCAGGCTGCCTCGTCGTTTCTTCTAACACTGCTGCCCAACGTCAAGACCGTGGTTCTTCCCTTTCGCTGGACTCACGACAAAGAAACCGATAAGCTTTTTGAGGCCATCGTCCACCACGCGCGTCTACCAAACGCCACTTCGACCAATGCCAGTCTCGCTCTAGTTACTACTCTGAAGACTGGGTCCTCATTTGCGATGCGGCAAGGCCTTGTCCTGAACAAGATCACTCCGCTCCTGGCCCTTCCACGCATCCACACGTTCCACGGCCCCACCTCCATATCCGACATCGAAGCCTCCGAGCCTTCTTCTCCAGGTCAATCAATCCCGCCCCCTGTGGGCGGAACATTGGAAATAGCCTATCTGCGCGGCTGCAACCTCGATGGTCCCGCTATGCAACACTTCCTGCGCTACACGCCGCGCCTGAAAACGCTCGTTTATTCCCACTCTGACAAGCAACTTAGTCGAGTTTGGGATATTTGCGACCTCGTTACGACTATCGGCAAGGAAGCTGGCAGCCATCTCGAAGAGCTGTCTATCACAAAGCGCGAATTTAGCGGCAAGATCGCGCTTGGAACAACGACCATGCGGAACTTCCCGCGTCTGCACAAGCTAGAGATCCCTCTTGACCTTGCGACATGCGTCATTAGATCCGCTGCCCACCTCGGAACGGATCCTGCAGATCAGTCTCATGTCAATCTTCTGATGTGTGGCCTAGTCCCCGCTTCGGTCACTCGGTTGTTTCTAACATCAGAAGAGTGGAAAAGCCGTGATGATGACATCAACTCCACAACCGTGTCAGAGACAATCGACGGGGTTCAAGTATTTGAGGGGAGACCGCAACAGCACAAGCAAACCCTCGAAACCATGTTTCACGGCTTTGCTGAGAAAAAGGACGAGCAGTTACCTTGCCTCAAAGAAATACGCATGTCTTGCCATTGGTCTGCCGACGAAGCTTTGAAAGCCCGATGCGAGAGCTTGCGCGCTGAGGTGGAAATTGTGGGCGTGGAAGCTCACATTCATGCTAATCGGTGGACGCAAGCGATGGATTATGCGGGGAGATCGCCGTAGACATCGTAATGCAACTTCCTTCATCCATAGCTCTCCATGACCTTCGGTGCCTTGCGTGTATCCCTTTGCCGACTGCCCTGCGTTCCTGTCAGCGAATACGCCCTGCAGCTATGGAACGCCGCGCCGAATTGGCGATGAGGTCAACAACGCTCTAAACTGGAACGAAAGTATACAAAGGATGTGAAATCAGGCAGAGAGTCCGAGGGGCCAAGGCATGTCAATCGGCCATCTTTCGTAAAAGCTGTTTCAAAGTGAATCGCGCGGGGGAAGAACAGTAAGACGGCGAAGCGTCCATTTTCGGACACCAGCCGCGAAACATCCCTTCTTGCGAATGGCCCCAAAGTTGCCTTGAAAGATACTCGATGTGACTACAGTAACAGGCCTACTCCATGTCTCGATAGCCAAAGACGTAAGATGATGTATCGGAAATACAATCTTCTCGAAGAGGAAAGAAATGTGTAATGCTGTGCCTCGCAGCTGACGTAGGTCTTGTCGCGAAGGACCGCGGCGCTTACACCTAGGTCTATACGCGTACCTACAGGCCGTGATCTTCGCCCCGTCACGTCATGCCCAGATGGTCAGGGATGAAGAGACATTCAGTTTCAGCATCAGCATATACGAACATATCCGCCCGCGGGCGGCCTCTTCGCTCAGCCTTATCCGCCTCGCTACCTAGATTAGGTTGTTTTCGGGAATGCCCGCCAACGCCTGACGCAATTTGGGTCCAAGCAGATCTCATCTACTTCAGCGCTAGCTAGCCATCGACTCAGAAGAACAATCTAGGTAGCTGCGATATTGACTCCACATGTAAAGAACCCCATAGTCTGTAGATACGTCATGCTGGAGCCTGCTACCGCGTCTTCGGATGTGAATATCAGCGAGGCTGACTTTGTGAAGCTCAAAGGCGGTTTCGAGCTTGAAAACCAGGACGATGAGTGGCGCATGCGTAATGAGGAGGAGAGCGGTGACGACTTCCAGTTCTAATATGGGCAGGCCGGACCGGGAAGTGAACTGTATATTGTTCATGTGAAGTCAAAGAACGGTGACTGCAACACCGGAGCGCTTCCGGAATATGACTTGAACGATATCTGGGATCATGGCGCAGCCGCACTTCCTGTAGATGAGCAAAGAAAGCGAGACTCGGACGCGTACCTCGAAAATTTCAAGAAGGGTTTCGATGTGACTAACGTAGAAGATGGACCTGGCGTGCACGGCGTCTGCAGCGTGTAGCGGATCACATTGCCAGTTTAGAGTTGGTTTAGACAAGCTCGAAAGTGGGTCAAGCTTTGGAGGGGCTCGCTTGGACGAGCTTTTGCGGGGATAGCAACGGGTTAGGGCCGGTTGACCATGGAGCTCTATCAGCGATATCACGGCATAGATAAACAGATTCGGCTTGCTATAAGTTGCGATATCGCTCTTACTCATCGGGAAGCTCTCTATTTCTTCATCTCTTGCTATTTCCTTCGATATACTCCGTATTTGTGTGTGGTGAGGCTGAGCTCACATTTACGCGTCGCGTCCCCCCGCATTAGCTCCCCGCAGTGTCAACACAGCTATACGCCGTCTTTCTTCCGACAACAACTGTCCTGACGACAACCACGATGGCGTCTATCGCTCGCACTGCCGGGCGTATCCGAGCCCCAGCTTTTCGCGCAAATGCTCGCGTAGCTTCAAGGGCACCAATTGCAACACAGAGAAGACATGCTTCCGCAGCAGCAGCCGCCGTTGCAGACAGCGGCGAGCATTCCTTCTTCCCAGATGAGCCTCGCCAGCCTACTGTAAAGACACAAATACCCGGTCCGGAGAGCAAGAAGGCTATCGAAAGACTAAGCAAGGTCTTCGACACCAGGAGCTTGAACATGATGGCCGATTACTCGCAAAGCTATGGCAACTAGTACGTCCTCCATAGATTGAGCAAAAAATACCAATTGACATCTCCCAGCATCGCAGACCTCGACGGCAACGTCCTCCTCGACGTATACGCCCAAATCGCCTCCATCCCCGTAGGCTACAACAACCCATCCCTCCTCCTCGCCGCCACCTCCCCCGACATGGCCTCCGCCATCATCAACCGGCCCGCACTAGGAAACTTCCCGCAACACGACTGGGCCGACATTCTCGAAACAGGCATCCTATCCGTCGCGCCCAAAGGCCTCAACCAAGTCTTCACCGCACAAGCCGGCTCCGACGCCAACGAGCTCGCCTACAAAGCCGCCTTCATGTGGAAGCGACAACAACAACGCGGCGGCATCGACGCCGACTTCTCCGCCGAAGACATCTCCTCCTCCATGAACAACAAAGCGCCGGGTGCACCCGACATGTCGATCCTCTCTTTCAAAACCGGTTTCCACGGCCGCCTCTTCGGCAGTCTCTCAACCACGCGCTCCAAACCCATCCACAAGCTCGACATCCCCGCCTTCGACTGGCCGCAAGCCCCCTTCCCAGTGCTAAAATACCCCTTACATGAACACGAAGCCGAAAACGCAGCAGAAGAACAACGCTGCCTCGATGAAACCGAATCCATCCTCCTAAACTACCACAACCCACCCGCAGCCGTAGTAATCGAGCCCATCCAATCCGAAGGCGGCGACAACCACGCCACGCCCTTTTTCTTCCGCGGCTTGCGCGCCCTCACCAAGAAACACAACGTCCTCCTCATCGTCGACGAAGTGCAAACGGGCGTCGGGGCGACCGGCAAGTTCTGGGCGCATGAACACTGGGGGTTGGACGCGCCGCCTGATATGGTTACTTTCAGCAAGAAGGCGCAGACGGCGGGGTATTACTTTGGCGATAATGCGCTTAGGCCGAATAAACCGTATCGTCAGTTTAATACTTGGATGGGTGATCCGGCGAGGGCGATTCTCTTCCGGTCTATTATCCAGGAAATCAACCGGATGGATCTTGTTAACAGCACTGCTGCGACGGGGGATTATCTCTTTGCGGGCTTGCAGCGCTTGAGCGAGAGGTTCCCACGGGAGATTCAGAATCTGAGGGGGAAGGGACAGGGAACGTTTATTGCGTTTGATAGTGTGAGGAGGGATGAGGTGTTGAGGAAGGCGAAGGGCGAGGGTGTCAACATCGGCGGGTCGGGAGAGAGGGCAGTCAGGTTGAGGCCTATGTTGATTTTCCAGAAGCACCACGCGGATCTTTTGCTGGAGAGGTTGGAGAAGGTTTTCCACTCTTGATTCGGCTTTTGATTGAGGGAATGGGGTTGTTTGTTTTGGGTACACGGGTCGATGGACATGATGAAGGGATGGCGGAGTTCAAAGGGCGTTGGTTTGATCTGCTATATATGTTCTTTGGTAGGACGTAATGATGAAAGCTCGAGTTCTCTACCTCAATCCAGCCCGTCTTCCTCTATCACAAGAAAACGTACAAAACCAGATGAATGATCATGAGTTCAGTTCTTATTCATCAACCATACGACTCTCGCTATGAATATAACTTTTTCCTCGTCGCATCGACTCCTCGTAACAACTCCAGTACTCCCAACAGTCACCCCCATTATGTATACAGAATCCCAATCCAGTAACAAAAAGGAAGAAGGAGAGGAAACAAAGTCCAGTCCAACCTCATGGGGTATCAGAATTTGCTTTCAATCAGCCAAAGGAAAAGCCACCCGCTAATGTAAACAAGTGCAATGATAAAAACGCCAACAAGGAATGGGATGTTGATGTGTATCCCACGGCCGGGAACGAAAGTGGCTGTGCGTGAGCTCTCATACAACACCCTTTCTGCACTCTTCTTTTCTCACTCAGGCCTCTCAAGACAAACCCTCAACCCATACTTCAACCCCTCAATCTCGCAATACTCTGCCAGAAACCTAAGTCCAAACCGCACCGCCTGGATGGGCGTGGTATCTGCGCCCAGCGGCAAGAAGTACGGGCCCGACATCTTCGCGCCGCTCAGCTTCTCCGGTTCGCGGGCTAGTCTCGCATTCGACTCCCTCGCTGCATACGTTTTCTTGTATGTGGATTGCAGATCCTCAATCGGCAGCGCAATCCGCGCATCTTGGTAGTGGCGCTGCATTTTGATCGTGTGGTCAGACAGTAGCGCGAAGTTTTCTGCGAGGCTGTTGTGCTGGCGGGACGCCTCAGCCGGATTACCACCACTATGACCCATGCCATCTTGAGGCGAGTCGTGCGTTTTGGGGTTGTTGCAGCGCTGGGAGACGTGTGTGCAGATTGCGGCGGCGATTACGGAGCTGAGGTAAGAGCGGAGGCCGTCGAGGTGTTGGAGGTCTTTTGTGCTGCGCGAGTAGGAGAGGCAGAGGGGGAGGAGCGTCTTCCAGGTTTGTTCTACTTCGCCGGGGCGGCCGCGCATGTGGAGGGAGAGGTCTTGGGCGAAGTAGGCGGCCATGTAGGCGCTGGGTGGGTGTTAGTCGGGGTTCATAATGTATAGCTGAGTGTTGGGTCTTGAACTTACAGGATACACTCCAGGTTAGTAACTGCAGCTCTCTTCTCATCCTGTTTCGAAATCTTGCCGCTGGTGAGGATCTTGGTGGCTTCATGCTTAAGGGCTCTACCCATTTGATTCCACCTTGCCGACGTATGCCCAAGCAGCGAGATGTCTGCCTGCTTCTTGTTGTTGAGAGGAGCAGATGTAGGTTTCGCGCCGGCTGGGGTTGCGCCAGACCGGCCGGGTGTTGCGTCGTTGCTCTCGGAAGACTGAGTTCGTAACATGTTGACTGACTTGAGGTCCTTCTTAGGGGTTGCGTATTGCGTCTGACTGTTTTGGAGAGGGGTAATGGGCCGGTCTTGGGTTGAGCCTGCTCTGGGTCGCTTAGTGGGCGGTACCGCCAATGTCGTCTCCTCTTCCGCGCGCGGCCGCTTCTCTGGAACTTTTGATGGCGTTGTAGTTTGTCGTGCAACGACCTTGGGAATTGCCTTCTTCTTAATGACAGGCGGATCCGTGACCTTGGGCTGCGTGTCTGCCATAGGAGTCGCCTTGGAGGTATCGTTGCGCTCCTTCTTCTCGGCATTCGCTCGTTTCGATGGTAG